TGTTTTGTCTCCACACACACACACACACACCCCGATAAACTAAATATAGCCCCCAGTTTTCCACTGGAACCTCCAGCAAATACTGGTTTCTAATAAGGCAAAGGAAACAGACTGTGTGTGTGAAGGGGAAAGGTGTGTCCTGTGCTGCTCGTTTAGGGTGTGGATGAGGGTTAATGATCATTAGTGTGTGTGTGTGAACTTTCTCTCGGTCCCAGACACTAGGATCACAATCTGCAGGCCCTGAGTCTATTTTAGGTGTGTGTGTGTGTGTCGTGCGTCAGAGCCGCGAGTCTGTTTCCTGGCTAGAATAATTCCAGCCGATTGTTTGGATTTGCTCACTGAGTTTCTATTGTTCCCGTCGGCCGAACAGAACAGATCCATCAAACTCGAGCCCCGAGTCTGTGCCGACGCCACACGGCCAATCGCTGAGCCGTCCATGACTATTATTTACATTAAGAGTGTGTAGCTGAGTGTAGTGTGTAGGGTTATAATGTGTGTGTAGTTGCTAAGGCTCCGGCTGGTTTGCTGGATGGACGGAAATAGTTTGATAAACATAATTAAACTTTTTTGTTAAAGAAAACATTTTCCCTTGTTTTTCAGATCCCAATTTCGTCAGAACGTTTCTCACCACGTACCGGTCGTTCTGTAAACCTCAGGAGCTGCTGGATCTGCTCATGGAGAGGTCAGACACACACACACACACACACTCGCATCTGTCTGGTGATTCAGTTCTGACGGTGCACACATACACAGTTTTTGTCTTCTGAAATTACTACTTTTAGAGTTTTAGTGTAATTAGCTTTATTCAGTGGTGGAGGAAGTACTGAATCTCAGTACAAATAACCAGATAAATATTTACTTTAGTAAAAGTAGAAGTAACACAATGACAACCATACTTAAGTAAAAAGTACCTGATTTTAAATGTACTTTAAGTATTAAAATTAAAGTATAACAATTGATTCTCTTAATGACTATAATAAAACATTTATTTCTAACTCATTCAACCTAATACTCCTATAATGATGGAAAAAAAATGTCACCATTTCTGAAACAAGCTTGCAGTTAGGCAATATAAACCATGCTTATTCTTACTAACTTATATGTTAATAACTATGTTTGGCAATAAACGTGATTAATTTATGGTGTAATTCTGAACCTCTTGGCTTGCCATAATCCTAACCAAACGTATATTACACACGGTGTGTTTCATATGCACGTAAAAACAAATTTTTGCGTATAAATTGCACGATAAACACACTGCGTGCGAGACGCATTTAGTTGATGTATCTATGGCAACCAAACGTCACTGGTGAGACAAACGTGCAACGAACGGACGGTCGGATTACGGTTTGGCCGGGGAAAAACTGATCAGGAAATGTAACAGAAGTTGTAGAAATGTAGTGGAGTAGAAAGTAGAATAATTGCTGCAAAATGTAACGAAGTAAAAGTAAAAAGTATGCACTATTTATTCTACTTAAGTAAAGTAAAGATACGTGAAAAATGTACTTAAGTAAAGTAACAAAGTATTTGTACTTCGTTACATTCCACCACTGGCTTTATATACACACACACACACACATATGTAAAAGTCTCTCTGTGTGTGTGTGTGTGTGTGTGTGTGTGTGTGCGATCCAGGTTTGAAATCCCCGAGCCGAAGCCCACAGAAGCGGATCAGATGGCCATGGAGAACGGAGACCAGCCGCTGAGCGCAGAACTCAAACGCTTCCGCAAAGAGTTCGTTCAACCCGTACAGCTCAGGTACACACACACACACACACTCATATACACACACACACACACACAGTCTCACCGGATGTGTGTGTGTGCAGGGTGCTGAATGTGTGCAGGCACTGGGTCGAGCATCACTTCTATGACTTCGAGAGAGACGCTCAGTTGCTACGGCGACTGGAGGAGTTCATCAACAAGGTCAGAGGTGAGGACACGAGCCTTCCGCTCCATCACACACACCTGACATCAGGAAACTGACTTGTGAAACATGGATAAATATGCAGTTATATTATGTATATTTTAGCATCATGTCTGATGTCATGGAATTTGGCAAAAGTTGGATTGATGAACGTAACGTATCGCTACAAACGTAATCGGACTGATATAATATTAATATTCTACGGTACTTTGCAATGTAATAATGTTTAAAGGAAAATCCCACCGTATAATCTGATGAAAAATGTAATGAATTTCGCATAAAATGTTCTGACCATAATTCATATTTAATTCCCATGATTAGCCAATGAGATTTCACTGGGGGCGGGACTGAAATATTGACATGAGTGTGGACTGCGCTTAGCTCCGCCTCCTCTCCCCTGTGCACAGGTAAAGCCATGAGGAAGTGGGTGGAGTCGATCACGAAGATCATCCAGAGGAAGAAGCAGGCGCAGGCCAACGGCCCGAGTCACAACATCACCTTCGAGAGCTCGCCGCCGCCCATCGAGTGGCACCTGTGTAAGGCGGGACAGACAGACCAGTTCGACCTCATGACCCTTCACCCCATCGAGATCGCCCGGCAGCTCACGCTGCTGGAGTCAGACTTCTACAGGTGCGACCTTTGACCTCTCGCGACCGTCACTTACAATCATATGACTGAATCATGTAGTCCACAAGTGAGCAGCCAGGAATGTTGTTGTTAATTTTGTTTTGTTTTGTTTTTATGAGGGAAAAGGCTGGATTTCCTGTTTGTATTTTTATTTTGTGCTCCATTGGCCACTCTCTGCACAGAAAATGGGGCAGTTTAACACAATAGAGTCCAGCTGTGACACACACACACTTCCCTTCACCTCTGTGGGAACAGGCAATGAGTGTCGTACCCAAGGTCACCACCTCAGCTCCGTTTCCCATGAGGCCGTTCTGCGCACCCGTCTCCCAAAACACTGAACCACACACACAACAGCTTGGCATTCTGGGAGATTCTGACTTTAATACAGTAAACACACTTACGATAAACGTCTGCCAGCACAAGCCAAGCTCGTTTGTGTTCAAGCTCTTACATTAATAATGAGACGCTGCAGTCAGTTTGAGGTTTTGCTTGAATAATATTCTTCTTAATAAATTTTATTTTATCGTGCTTTATCTCCGTTGAGTTTGAGTCAGCAGATTCACACACACCAAACCTTACAGTTTCATTCATATCTCTATTCTGAAGGTTTGTTTTTAATGTCGCTCGCCTGATTTATAGGATTTTTCAAATCTTAAAAACATGTATTTTCTGATTTATGATGAAAAGAGAAATACAAAATCTCTTCTGGGAAAAACTTTGTCGACAAATTCAAAAGAGAATTCTGAATCTGGGTTTATCCGACGTTCAGATTTCTGTTCTGGAATTTTATGCAATTTAGTGCATATTTAATTAGTTCATTTAGAAATTTTATCCATTAAAACTCGTCCTTGATTGCCAAAATTACATTTAAATGTCTTTTCCTTGGAAAAAAAATGTCTTCATGTCTTAAAATATCTTGAATGTAACTCGACACCCTCGCCTCATTTAGTATGTGCGGCTTTATGAATATGCGAATAAGCCCCGCCTCCACTCACTCACTCACTCTGGTTGACGATCACACGTTGATCTGATTGGTTACAAGGTGGTTTGTGACGTCAGAAAGCGTGTTTTTGAGACTGTCTTTGGTTTTAAGGAGGAAATACTCAGTCCACTTATGAACTTACACATGGTTTAAGTGTATTAAAAACACCACATACACACATAAACTCCATTAAAGCTGGATTTACACCACAGGGGGACTTTAATAAATAAAACAATTACCTGTAATTCATTTTTTTGAGTTGTAAAGTCTTAGATCATGATTTTTAGGTGGAACTGCTGCTCTTTTTCTTTTTTTTTTTTTTTTGGTGGTTTTGCACTAAAGCATGAATGTGTGTGTGACCTTTGACCTGTAGGGCGGTGCAGCCGTCAGAACTGGTGGGAAGCGTTTGGACGAGAGAAGACAAAGAGATCAACTCTCCGAACCTGCTGAGGATGATCCGGCACACCACCAACCTCACGCTGTGGTTCGAGAAGTACGACACACTCCCTCGAGTTTAACTCAGAGTGTGTGTGTGTGTGTGTGTGTTTCTAACGGCTCTCTCGTCTCTCAGGTGTATCGTAGAGACGGAGAACGTTGAGGAGCGCGTGTCCGTCATCTCGAGGATCATCGAGATCCTGCAAGTGTTTCAGGAGCTCAACAACTTCAACGGCGTCCTGGAGGTGGTGAGCGCCATGAACTCCTCGCCCGTCTACAGGCTCGACCACACCTTCGAGGTGAGCGCGCTGACCACACCGCTGAGGTACGCGCGTGTGTGTGTGTGTGTGTGAGCATGAGAGCGGCTTCACAAGTGTGCGGCCATAAGAGACCATTCCTGAAGCACCGCCCACTTTACCCACAATCCTCAAGGTACATCATGACCTTTTCAATTAAAGCATACAGGGAGGTTTTCAGTGTGTGTGCAATGAATAAGATGTCTCACTTGGAATAAGGCAGATATTATCGGCCGATATTTGGCATTTTCTAAAATATCGGTATCGGCAGTTCTAATGGCCGATAAATGAATATTTCAAAAATAAAATAAAAACGGACGAATCACGCTTCAACCATGTCATGAGTGTTGTCTAAAAGTGCAGGTAAAGGGATAGCAAGCTGACTTTGTAATTATAAGGTAGCTTATAACTATAAGGCAATGTAGGGACTAATTATTATTTTATTTATCAGAACTTTAATATATTTTGATGTTGTGACAATAGAAACAAGTTTCTTTTTAAAATGCATTATCATATTATTTTAATTAAAACTCATAAATAAATAACTAATGTTAGGGAAATCTGTTAATATTTAGTTGCGCGTTTCTGAAATAAAAATAATAATAATAATATCGGCCGATATATCGGATTTTAAAACCAACAAATATTTGTATCGGTATCGGCCTTCAAAATCCTTTATCGGTCGGGCTCTACTTGGAAACCAAGTTGGCGATTGTTGTACATCCAAAGCTGTGTGCGCTGTTGTCTGAGAAAAAAACAATAAAAACGTAATCTGTGCTTCTGAAAGCTAACACAGGGGTCGTATTTAAAAAAGAAAACGCTGTCGTTCTGTGTGCTGAATTATGGCCTTTCAAATAAAATGATTAATGCATGAAAAGTAAATAAAACATACAAATAATAAATTAGTAAAACAAAACATTGAATAAAAATGCATAAAAGTAAATTAAATATTAAATTATAAATTATGAAACAAAATAAACACCATTTTTTTTAATAAAAACGAATACGTTAAAAATATTAAAGTATTAAATAAAATGTAAAAATAGAGAAAAAAATAGTTTGTAATTGTAATCTCGAGTTTCTCCTGGGAACACGTCACAATATTCCTCATTATAATAATTAATGCGCAGAATAAAGGGGCGGAGCCTGGTTGAGTTAGTTAGTAGTGTGTTAAACTGCCGGTTATGGAAAGGGGCGGGGCATTTCCCAAACACACTTGAAGCACTCGACCAATCACAACACACTGATCCAGCCGACCAATCAGAGCACAGAGTGCTTTCAGGAGGAGGAGACAGGAAGTAAACAGAGCGTTACTGACAGACTGGTAAGAGAGGAGCCGCAACAATGGAGAATAATCAACATTCGAGTTCTAGAAGAGCCTGAAAACAACATGTCTAAATTGGCCTCAAAGGGCATAATATGATGTAACTCATCCTGCATGTGATTGTGTTTCAGCAAATCCCAAGCAGACAGAAGAAGACTCTGGAGGAAGCGCATGAACTCAGTGAAGATCACTATAAGAAATATCTGGCTAAACTGCGCTCCATCAACCCTCCCTGCGTCCCCTTCTTCGGTACGTGCGTTCACACATGACGCTGCTGTTCCTGATGAGAGTGTGTGTTTGACGCACGTGTGGTCTGCTCGCTTTAGGGATCTATTTAACAAATATCCTAAAAACCGAGGAAGGAAACCCGGACTTCCTGAAGAGACACGGCAAAGAGCTGATCAACTTCAGCAAACGACGGAAAGTGGCGGAAATCACCGGAGAAATCCAGCAGTACCAGAACCAGCCGTACTGCCTACGCGTGGAGAGCGAAATACGGGTCAGAGACGCTTAGTTACCATTCGTACCAGTACAGCTAGTGCATAGGTATTAGCATTTAATAAAGTCAACATAAAAGAACAACTAACAAAACACACAATACAGAAGATCACCTCCATATCGGAGGATTCGCCTCAGATAATACACGATATAAGATTTTAATTCAACATCTCTGTGTAAAAGGAGATTGCACACGCATGTGGATTTAAATGGTCTGGGGTACATTAAGAAATGAACACTTATATTCAGCTAGGATTTATTAAATTGTTCAAAAGTAACAGTCAAGACATTTATAATGTTACGAAACGTTTTTTATTTTCTTTCTATTCATTAAAGAATCCTGAAAACACAGTTATGATAAAAATATGACAGTTTTCAACTCTGAAATGTTTCTTGATTTGTGAAGGATCATGTGACACTGAATCACAGGAATAATTTACACTGGACTATATATTCACATTTGAAAAATATTTCACAATTTTCTCTATTTTTGATCAAATAAATGAGCAGAAGACACAAAATTATCAATTAATTTAAGTAAACATGGCGTTTTTTATTCCGTTGATGTTGCAGAAGTTCTTTGAGAACCTGAACCCGATGGAGGACATGACGGAGAAGGAGTTCGCCGATTATCTGTTCAACAAATCTCTGGAGATCGAGCCTCGTAACGCTCGCACTCTGCCTCGATTCGTAAGTCTGACTCCTGAGAACGGTTACACAACACACACACACACACACACACACGAGAACCTGTGACCGCATGTGCACCTGATCTGAGCGTCCGCGCTCCGTATTAAACCGTAAAGTGCTTAAGGATGTGAACCAGAATAAGCCTGAGTTCACTTGTGTAATGGTGACGTTCTGTTCTGAGTGTGCTCATGGGAAATCAGGTGGACTCTGAGGCCAAAGACTGTATTTTTATAGATATTTCTGATACTGTAATGACAAATAATGTTCTGATACTGTAATGTTCATAAACTTCATAGAAACTAGAAACATATATATATATATATATATAGAAGTGGATTTATATACAGTATATAACACAAACACAGTGCAAGTCCTGAAGATTTAAAAAAAAAAAAAAAGATAAAATCCTGAAATAAAATATACACACACATTACCTACTATTTGGCCGGCTCGCAAGCCCGAACGAGTGTGTGCAGCGTGCCCGTGGTATTGTTCCCGGTCTAGCTAGAAGCCATTGAAATGAATAGGTTTCATAGCGCAGTGCAAAAGCATGTGAAAAAAAACTACAAAGTTTGCTAGGACAAAAAGACCGTTAATCGTGCGATTAAAAAAAACGAACGCTGTTAAAATGGGTTTGCGTTAACGCCGTTAAAGGAGTAGTTCACTTCAAAAAACTTTTGCTGATAATTTACTCGCCCACATGTCATCCAAGATATCCACGTCTTTCTTTCTTCAGTCGAAAAGAAATTAAGATTTTTGATGAAAACATTCCAGGATTTTTCTCCATATAATGGACTTCAATGGGGACCAAACGGTTCAAGGTCCAAATGAGAGTTTCAGTGCAGCTTCAAAGGGCTTTAAACGACTCCAGACGATGAATAAGGGTCTTATCAAGCGAAATGATCGCTCATTTAATAAATAAATAACAGTTTAAGTTTATAAGCTCAAATGCTCGCCTTGCTCTGTTCTGTGATGCGCGTTCGGGACTCTCCTGTTCGAACTCGTTCATCAAAATGAACGAATCTTTTTTCGAGTCATGACTCCTTGATAAGACCCTTATTCATCGTCTGGTGTCGTTTAAAGCCCTTTGAAGCTGCGCTGAAACTCTCATTTGGACCTTGAACCGTTTGGTCCCCATTGAAGTCCATTATATGGAAAAAAATCCTGGAATGTTTTCATCAAAAACCTTCATTTCTTTTCGACTGAGGAAAGAAAGACATGGACATCTTGGATGACACGGGGGTGAGTAAATTATCAGCAAAAGTGTTTTTTTAAAGTGAACTACTCCTTTAATAACGTGTTTATGTATATACATACATATTAATAAATAAATTAAAAGTGCATCTATGTTTGTGAAACCAGCGGAGGTGTAGTGACGGATAACTGTTGTTCTCTCCTCGCAGCCGAAGAAGTACAGCTGTCCTCTGAAGTCTCCTGGCGTTCGCCCGTCCACGGTTCGGCCCGGGACGATGCGCCACCCGACGCCGTTACAGAACGAGCCTCGGAAGATCAGCTACAGTCGCATCCCGGACAGCGAGACGGAGAACAGCGCCGCGTCCGCCCCCAACTCTCCCAGAACCCCCCTGACGCCTCCACCCGCCTCCACCTGCAGCTCCACCGACGCCTGCAGTGTGTTCGACTCTCCACAGGCTCCGTCCAGCCCCTTCCACTCCAGTACGACCCTCACACACACACACACACACCTTTAGCTCTTCTATCTCCACGAGTTAGCTCCACTTCAACTCACCGTGTGATTTAGCATCACGCACTAGCGCTGCTCTGGCATCGGCTGATCAGGTCTGTCTCCTTCTCTTGTGTTTCCTCCTGATTCCCGACAGACAGCGACAGTATTTTCGCTCCGGTCACTCTTCCGCACGGCCCACGTTAGTATATCACACGACTCTCATGCTCTGTCACGTCATGTGTGTGTGTGTTCTGTGCAGTGTTGGGTGTAACTAATTACTAAGTAATTAATTACTGTAATTTAATTACTTTTCCCTTGAAAATGTAAAGTAAGGGATTACTCTTCATTTATCTGTAATTTAATTACAGTTACTTCTGATGTAATTGAGGTAAATACTGTGTATGGATCAGCGATTCGTATGCATTTTATGAGGTGTCTAAATATTTCGACCGCACTCGTACAAATTCGTATGAGTTATTGTAAAATATGTATTCATGAGATCAGACATAAAACAATAGTGGGTTTAACATCAAAATGTATTGTCTGATGCTAAAGTATGTTTTTATAATGTAACCTTCTCCACCTTGGTCAGTTTAAGGATAATTCATGCAATTTTATAGTATTTATTTGAAAGAATTAAAACAGATTCATCATGTCTATCCTTGTATTATTCAGCTGGTTGAGATTGATATGGGATTTTGAAAGTAATTAAAAGTAATTAAATACTTTTTAGAGAGAGTAATACAGTAATCTAATTACACAGTTGAAGAGGTAATTAGTAACTAGTAATTAATTACTTTTTTAGAGTAACTTACCCAACATTGGTTCTGTGACATCACATCCTGTGGAAAGAAGTGCTTTTTACTAGGGTTGGGTATCGTTTGAATTTTTAACGATTCTTAATTTCGATTTCAATTATTTTTTTATTGCAAAACAAAATGTTTATTTTTAAAACAAGTGTCCGATCCGTGATTGGCTCACACCGATGCCCAACTCTACTGCTCCTGTCTCTGGCCGGCTCGTGTTGCCGATCATCTTTAGTAGCATGTGATGTTCAGGTCTGTGTTTATCATGTGACGTGTTTCCCAGCATCCTCTCTGTCATGATTCTCAGCCGAGGGCTCGGTGTGTGTGTGTGTGTGTGTAACTGGAGTGTTTGTGTGTCTCTCAGGATCTTCTTCAGTGTCGTCTATGATGAGTTTCCTCCGAAACGACGACCCTCCCGTTCCTCCACCGATCCCTCCCCGACGCCGGCCCGAGTCTGCTCCCGCCGAATCCTCACCCTCAAAGGTGCCCGACACTCACACACACACACACACACACTCATATACATCCCAGAATAGTCTTGGACTTGGTGCTGGAAACCCAAAGCAGGACAATAATAATATTCATGATTCTGAAGCTGAAAATTAGAATTATTTAATATGAAAATGCTTGCACTGTCACCGACTAGATATATTTCAAATAATGTAGGCCAGTTTTAGGCCAATTATTATACATCATATTCAACATTATATACAGTAGTTTAATGTATTATACTAGAGCCAGACCGATATTATCAGCTGATATTAGGCATTTTCCAAACTATCGGTATCAGCGGTTATAATGGCCGATAAATGAATATTTCAAAAATAAAATAAAAACGGACGAAACACGCTTGAACCATGTCATGAGTGTTGGAGTTGTATAGTTTGTCCACCAGAGGGCGCTCTACACCGTTCCTGTCGGCAACACTCGTTGAGTTGGTCACGAGACATATGCTGCGTCCCAATTCGCCTACTTATACTACGCCCTAAAAGTATGTACTCTTTTTGTGAGGAAAAAGTACATACTTTTGAGTGTGTAGCAAAAGTGTAGGCAAGCTTTGGGACGTACTATCACGTCATCTTTAACGGACAGCTCGTGCATCCCGTCACCGTAAACTGCCTGTCAATCATCTCGTCACAGTTAAAATCCTCCATTGTATCTAATTTTATTTCCTACCGTTTCGGAGAGCACGTTCACCTGCCAGTCGTGGGTCTTTCATGCTCTCCTCGTGTTTGCAATTTGAATATAATGATGCATTTAAAACGTAATGGCTAAACGTGTCTTTACAAAAGTTCACGATGCTGCTGCAAATGCAATATAATGTGGACAACATTGAATAAATTAATTTTCGTCAGGTTAGATACTGATAATTAATCACTCAAAGCTCTTTATCTAAACCTCTCTACACAACCGTCCTCCGCATCGACTACGTGTCTGTAGTTTTTTAACACTTTTTACTCGTGTTTGTAGTTCTAACCGAATCCTCGTCCAACGCGCAATGGTTTGTGGGCAATATCAGCCATTAGAGTGTGCATCGATCTACACTTCGGATTCTGACCGGAAAAAGTAGACCATCCGGGTATCTTTGAAACACTCGTTTTCAACATACTACGATTTGGGACGCACTAATTATATTTTCGAATACTATTTAGGACGGATAGTATGCGAATTGGGACGCAGCAATACATCGCTTGAAGAACATCCCCATCAGTTCTCTTAACTCAAATAAGCAGGACAAAATTTGTGACCATCATGTCCAGTTTAAAAAAATAAATAAATAAATAAACAAATAAAATATCGGCCGATATATCGGATTTGAAAACCCAAAAATATTTGTATCGGTATCAGCTCTATTATTGACACGAAAACTGTTTTTCCTCACAGTAATGTTTATTTTGGGTGACTGTTGCATTTTTGTGTTGTGGTATATTGTGATACCCCTAGTCTATGGTCACAGATCTGTCTTTTTGAAACGCTGCGTGTGTGTGTGTGTGTGTTCCAGATGATGTCGAAGCACCAGGACAGTGCTCCTGCGATCCCTCCTCGTCAGCCCACCACTAAAGTGTTCTCGCCCCGTTACTCGCTCTCGGATCCGCCCGACAGTCCTCCGACGCTTCCTCCGCGCGAGCCGGTGCGCACGCCAGACGCGTTCTCCAGCTCGCCGCTACACCTCCAGCCGCCGCCTCAGGGCCGGCGCTCCGAACTCAACCAGACCTTCTTCCCACCATCTCCCTTCATCCCGCAGTCGCCCTCTCCACTGGGACCCCGCAAACACACGCCCTCCTCGCCGCTCGACCTGGAGCCGACGACCCCGGGGTCCGCCGGGCCGCCCGTCCCGCCGCGCCAGAGCACGTCCCAATCGCCCATCCCCAAACTCCCTCCGAAAACCTACAAAAGAGAGTCGGTCCATCGCGACGGGCCGCCGCTCCTCGAGAACGCTAACCCTTCATAAAGCGACGTCACTCCGAGGACTGAAACAGGATGAAGCCGCAAACGTGCTCGTCTGAGAAACGAAAACTAAACGAAAACACGTGCTCGGACCGAAGACGCGCTCTTCCGAGACCACGGTTGCGCAAACCAAGCCGAGATCGTTTTCTCGGGAACTGTGTGTGTGTCGTCTTTTTGTGTGGCTTTTGTTTTGTCACGTTCGTTTCCATTTCATCGCCTGCAGCGATCGTTGGCCAATCCCAGAACTCCCTGCTTGGACCTGCGGAAGAGCGACCCTTCACGGAGCGAAATTCATCTGAGGACTGAGAAACGAATCCGAGAACTAAACGAAAACAGACGCGCGCTTCCGGGACGACGATTGTGCTGATCGAGCCGAGATCGTTTTTCTCGTGAACTGTGTTGTTCTTTTTGTGTAGCTTTTGTTTTGGCACGTTCGGCAGAGCGAAGTTAATCTGAGGACTGAAACGAAAGCAGATGTGCTCTTCCGAGACCACGATTGTGCAAATCAAGCCGAGAACGTTTTCTCGTCTTTTTGTGTAGCTTTTGTTTTGTCACGTTCGTTTCCATTTCACCGCCTGGTTTGTTTTCGGCAGCGATCGTTGGCCAAGCTCAGACTGAGAAACAGACAAACCTGCTGGACGACAGACGACCAAACAGACCCGTTCACGCCATTATTTTCCGGTGCCTGTGAGTGTGTGTGTGTGTGTGTGTGTGTGTGGACGGAGAGTGTAAAGGGACTGCAGATGTTTAAGGTACCCTCGCACACCAAAGAGGTACTCGAGAAAACCTTCAAGAAACACACGTGATTGTCCTTGTATGTGTTAGAACTTTTATTTTCTCAATCATTTCTGTTTTTGCCAATAAATATGTAAAGAAAAAAAAACGATCGCCGCCTTAAAACAAGGGAATAAAAGTGTTTCTACCACTGTATGCCAAACGCTAGCCATGAACACGTCTCTCTTCTTCACTGTCTCCAGATGCTGAGCTCGTGATGTTCTGGCAAAACTACCATTATTCAGACACCAAAACTCATTTCTGATATTTGATGTAGTTCATTTCTGTAAGTGAGGAGGGCAAACATATTATACCCAAATATTTTACATTTATTAAAATGTGGCACCAATAATGACTCCTCCACTTTGAGCGGATGATGTTTTGCTGAAGTGTGTTTTCTCTTTTTAACATGAAGCATCATTGGTCACTGGTTGAGCTAAACTGGTATTATCTAATTGTTAACAGCTGACAGATATTCAATAATTCACGTGTGAGAGTCCAACAGAAGGATTGTCATATTTCATCTCCATTTTCGAAACTAGCGAATAAACTGATAATGTGAGAAATGTTGAAGGTGTCTGAATAAATGTGTGTTTGAGTGAACATCTGCTTTTACACATCAAACAAAATGCAATCATGACAGGCAGACCAAACAAGACAAAAAAAGTGGGGAAAGTGAGATTACTGCCTTTGAAAAGTAAGAATTATTTTCATTAGTGTTCTTATTTTTAAGTAAAACCATAAAAAATGGTTGTTTTTGGTTTTTTGGTACATTGTTGCGGCTCCTCTCTTTCCAGTCTGTCAGTAACGCTCTGTTTACTTCCTGTCTCTATGAAGCCCCGCCTTCTGAAAGCACACTGTGCTCTGATTGGTTGGCTGGATCAGTGTGTTGTGATTGGTCGAGCGCTTCGAGTGTGTTTGGGAAATGCCCCGCCCCTTTCCATAACCGCCAGTTTAACACACTACTAACTAACTCAACCAGGCCCCGCCCCTTTATTCTGCATATTAATTATTATAATGAGGAATATTGTGACGTGTTGATTCCCGGAAGAAACTCGAAGCTACAATGGAGGCGTTTCATATTAAAAATTCAATCATCAATATATTCAACTTTCAGATTTTAACTCAAAAATATTCAGTCTGTTTAAAAATGCAACCTATAATATTCTTCAGGCAATTTTCGGTTTATTTGATTTCGATTTACAAATTCGACTGAAAATCTTTTCAAATTTGTACATTCTGAACGCATTGGTTTTAAACTGTGAATATTAAAAATTCAATTATCCATATTCAACATTTATTTACGATTAGTGCGGACACTACAAAACCTGCGATGCATAAGAGTTTATTCATCAGGAAACATTTATTATAACATGAGCAAACACACAGGAACTTTGAACGTTGCATGAACAATCAAAACCGTAGATATTTACATAATGTAGCAGAGAAATGCTGTTCGACTCTCTCATTGTGCATTAACATCTCCTCTTAACGAACACTCTCAGAACACGTGGATTCATGTCAGGTTTGTGCGAGTGAAGTGTGTTCTCCAGGGATGCTCTCGACTAGACTCTGAACTCTGGCCAGAATGATCTCGTTGGCGCAGTTGCAGTCTCCAGTGCTGTAGGGGGCGCTGATGCTCAACACACCCGCCACACGAAGAACATCGCCGTCTTCGGTCACCGGGACTCGGTTCTTCTCCAGCCACACGCGCAGGTTCTCCCTCCGAGACTTCAGCTCGTCGGCGCTGAGGACCTGCGTTCTGTCCGGCAGGAACAGGCTCTTCATCCGACTCTCCGATTCCTTCGTTCCGCTCGCGAGGATCTGAACGTCTGTCACCGCGTGACCCAGAACCACCTTCACCGACGGACGCTTCGTCTCCGGGAAACTCACCAGCACCACACTGCAATCGACAAAACACGACGTGAGGTGATTCACACTTTGATTCAAGAAGCAAACGATTCATTTGAATCAAATGCTGTTTCTAAAATCGAATCGATTCGAGTAATCGACTCGAATACTTCTGTGGAGGCAAAATAATGACAAATGTATTTGAAACTAATAAAAAGCTTGAACTACTTTGAAAAAAATATGAACTGCATTAACCGATTTTAAAGCTGAGAAACAAACCAACACAATATGAACAACAATATATGAACAAACCAACACAATGTTAGATGATTCACGGTGGGTATCGATTCAATGTTCCAATTCGACTCGCAAGCTCTCAATTCAAATCCGATTCTAAATTCGATTTCCGATTTGACTCAATGAATATAGATTTATTACAAATCCTATATTTATAAAAAAGAACATAAGTTTACAAGTGGTTAATTCATAAAAATAAAGAACCACAAACCTGTATGTTAAACTCTTATTATTTTAGGAACATTAAAGCAGAACCCAACTCTATATTTCAAACGCATAGAATAAATATACAGGATTTTGATGCAAGATGAAAAAATTATTTCTTTTTAAATTAAGTTATACATGCGTGTATAGCATTTATAACCCAAACAGTCGGCCCAGATCCAGCCCACATCCGGTACGCGTTGAATCCACATTTACCAGATGTGGCCCGGATGTGGGCCGACACTGATGCTATCTGGGAAACCATTAAAATTAAAACATTAACTCACCCAAAAAGAAAATCGGTAACCATTTACATCAAGGTTCCCATTAGTTCACTACATTATTAAAATGATCCAATGTTACAACACTTCAAAAGCATTTAATCTTAGTTAATTTCAGCATTTTCTAATGCAATATTAAAATTATTGAATGGGCCTGAGCTAACATGAACTAACATTGAACCGTTGCGTAGCGTTCTTGTTAAATAGCGTAACCAGGAAACAAAAAAAAAACAATAATATTCGGGTTTAAGTACTTTAGGTGCAAAATTGTTTTGTAGTTGTTATCTTCTGATGTTTACCTGGCCGAAACGGGGTCCACCGTGAACACGCGTCCCTCGAAGCGCTGCTGATCGCGAGCGGTGACACAAACCTCCTGATTGACGAACTCCTGCCACTGCTGAGGACTCCTGTCCCTCCACTGCAGCATCTCTGCGAACCACTAATCACTCAATCAGCGTTAATTAACTTAATCCGCGACTTCATCTCCACTGAAGTTTGGCGTGTGTGGACGCTGTGCACGTGTGACGTCACTGTTGTAAACGAGCGTGTGATTGGTTGGCTGAGTCAGGCCGTTAGTTCCTTCATGAGAATCATAGGAAATGTAGTTTTTGCGGGGGCTGCGTGAGTTTGCGCATGCGCAGGCGAGCAGTCGTTTGACAGGCTGTTGTTTGTTGCTGACCGTCAGGATTTCGTTATTTCGCGTTATGTCGCGACACGGGCGACACGCAGGTGGTGAGTGCTATAATTCACGAATAATTCACGAATAAAACAAGGCTGGAGGTAGAATGCTTCATCTCATGTATTAAATATGTCTGGTTATCGAAAAGACGTGTTGTGTTTTAGCATGAGCTGCTAACTGTAATGGCGTCCTCGCGAACACCGATTAATAATAATAGTAATCATGATAATTAATAATAAAACTTGTAATAGGAATGATCACAACGTTATTTGGATCCATACTGTGAATAATTGTCGGTTTGTTGGGTTATAGGTTAACGTGAATATGTTCATTCATGTGTCGTTTCATTTCTGTTTTGTTTTTATTAAAGTTTTCTCTGTATTTCAGAAATTTGAAATTATAATTTAAGTTTGTAGATGCTAAAACCGTTCAATTGAAACAGTAAGTGTGGGTAAAGTTTATTTTGCTGACTAAAACTATTAAAATGTATTCTTTAATTTAAATTAAGCTGAAACGAAATCAAATATCATGGAAAAACTTAGACTAAATTACTAAGACTAAAATAAATAAATTGAAGCTAAATAGAAATATAAAAACAAAAGTCTAAAGCACTTAACAATATGACTAAAACTTAACTGAAAATATAAAAATAAAAGCTAAAATAAAATAATAATAAATATATAAAAAATAACATTGCTCAATATATGCTTATTTGAAATGTCTGGGTTTGTCTCCTGTCAAAATGTTTCTAATTTTCTAATTTAATATTATAAAAATATAATAATATATTATTGATATCTATTATTATTATATGATATACATATTATAGCCGCAGAATTCTATTTATTGAACTTTAGTCTCTTGTGTCAGAGTGAAACCGTGCTCATTTCTTTATTTCATTCCCTGAGTGACAGATTACAGGTGTTAATGTCCTTTTCTCTTTAAGAAACGAAGGTGTATGTGGGTAACCTGGGCACCGGGGCAGGTAAGGGTGAGCTGGAGCGGGCGTTCGGTTATTACGGGCCGCTGAGGACCGTGTGGATCGCTCGCAATCCTCCGGGATTCGCCTTCGTGGAGTTCGAGGATCCCAGAGATGCTGAGGACGCTGTGCGTGGCCTCGATGGCAAGTGAGTGGGCGGAGTCACGATTCACTGACTCACTCGTAGACTCCGGCTGCATCCCGAATCGCATACTCTTTTGAGTAGGGACTTATGTCGAATAAGTAATTCACGACTTCTAAAAAGGTGCGTTCCATATAGCATGAGTGTGTGTAGTGTGAATGTAATCCGGAGGTACTATTGTCCCCATGTTGTCATTATCATGTGACCTGCGTCAGTTGCCATTCATGCATCCTCTCCCGTGGCCTCGTGGGATAGTAAATTGTCCATCGTACGCACACTTCAGAATCTCACCGGAAGTAATTAGTCATTCGGTACTTTTTGTCTACTCTTTTATGAGGACTGTAAATTCAGGCATACTTCTTTTGTCACATCATGATTTTCGCCTAATAGTAGGGAAGTATGCGATTACGGAAGCAGCCTTTACTTGTTTCTTTACTGGATGAATCAGCGTTTTTGATCGAATCTATTGAGTCAATGATTCAATGACTCACTCATAAAGACTCCACTTGTTCTTTACTGGATGAATCAGCATTTTTGAACAAATTTCTTGAATTAATGATTCAATGACTCTCTTAAAGATTTCAATTGTTTAATTACTGTATGAATCATCGTTTTTGATCAAATCTGTTGAGTGAATGATTCAATGACTCACTCATAAAGACTCCACTTGTTCTTTACTGGATGAGTCAGCGTTTTTGAACAAATTTCTTGAATGAATGATTCAATGACTCTCTTAAAGATTTCAATTGTTTAATTACTGTATGAATCATCGTTTTTGATCGAATCTGTTGAGTGAATGATTCAATGACTCACTCATAAAGACACCACTTGTTCTTTACTGGATGAATCAGCGTTTTTGAACAAATTTCTTGAATGAATGATTCAATGACTCTCTTAAAGATTTCAATTGTTTAATTACTGTATGAATCATCGTTTTTGATCAAATCTGTTGAGTGAATGATTCAATGACTCACTCATAAAGACTCCACTTGTTCTTTACTGGATGAGTCAGCGTTTTTGAACAAATTTCTTGAATGAATGATTCAATGACTCTCTTAAAGATTTCAATTGTTTAATTACTGTATGAATCATCGTTTTTGAACGAATCTCTTGAATGAATGATTCAATGACTCACTCATAAAGACTTTACTTGTTTCTTTACTGTATGAATCAGCGTTTTTGATCGAATCTCAAATGAATGATTTAATGACTCTCTTAAAGATTTCAATTGTTTAATTACTGGATGAATCAGCGTTTTTGATGGAATCTCTTGAGTGAATGATTCAACGACTCACTCATAAAGACTTCAATTGTTTTTGATCGAATCTCTTGAGTGAATGATTCAATGACTCACTCATAAAGACTTCAATTGTTTTTGATCGAATCTCTTGAGTGAATGATTCAATGACTCACTCATAAAGACTTGTTTCTTTACTGGATGAATCAGCGTTTTTGATCGAATCTCTTAAATTAATGATTTAATGACTCTCTTAAAGATTTCAATTGTTTAATTACTGGATGAATCAGCATTTTTGATTGAATCTATTCTAATTTTTGAGTTTCACCTGTACACAACTTCGACAGTCACCTCTCACCATGTGTATTGTGAAAAGCGCTATGCAAAAATAAACGTGATTGATTGGTTTCAGTGTGATCTGCGGCTCTCGGACGCGCGTGGAGTTGTCCACCGGAATGCCACGGCGTTCCCGATACGAGCGTCCGCCGACCCGCCGGCCCTTCGACCCGAGCGACCGCTGCTACGAGTGCGGCGAGAAGGGCCACTACGCGTACGACTGCCACCGCTACAGCCGCCGGCGCCGGAGCAGGTACAGCGAGTGTGATCCGAGCACAGCCCACCTGTTGATGGAGAACACTGTCATTGCTGTTGCCCTGTTATATTGTTCTCTTCTCTCTCTGTCTGCTTGATTGCCTGTGTGGTTGTTTGTGTTGATTTTGTGGGGTTGCAGGGGGGATGTTTTATTGTTTTCTGATCTGATGTTTTCTCCAATGTTCTTTGGGATTTAATATTTAACGACTGACCTGGTCAAAACCTTTCAGGTTTCATCGTTTGATTCAGAGAGTCACGATCCTTTACGATTTCACGAGGCATCTAGCAAATCCCACACTTTTGATCGCCTGCTATGATGGGGCACGAGCAGCCACGCCCCCTTCGCCGAGGCTCCTCCCACTGCTACTTAACTATTCATAGCCCCTCCCCCCCAACCCAAACCTGATGAGAGCGCCAATCCGAGTAAATTTGGCTAGTGCCCACGCTTTTGATAAAGAGAGCATCGAGACCTCGGCAGACCACGGTCCCGTCTAGAAAAAGCGCCTTGCACACTTCTATCAAGTCTCAATCAAGCGATTTGGCTGTCGATGCAATGTCATCGTTAGAAATCCAAGAGAACGACTAGATGCAGAGGTCGGCTGATGATAGATACTTCTAGATCGTCTAGATCTGCTAGACCTCGGTTCCAAAGAGGCTCGACCTGCAAAGTTGCAAGGTTTATTTCAAGTACCAATTAATGTGTCTCTCTGTATATCATTGCCATAGCCTGAACTCAAATCAGTCGTAATGTTTAAAGCTGTAGACATTTTTTTAGAGAACTGAGTCCTAGGGCTGGGCGATATAACACCCCACGAGCGTCAACTAGATATATTGCTTTAATCATTTGTATTTTTTTTTTGCGCGAAAATCCGACTTTTTTAAAAGAAATTTTAAAACCAGGTGATTTAAACCAAATCTATTGAAAAAAAGTGAAATATTTATTTAGTTAATAATCTTGGAAAAGTAAGTAATTAACAAACATATTTTTATATTCTAAAACTTTTTTTGCAACATTTTTAATCAGTGTGTTCTATCATTGATGTACTATAATATTTATTATTTATTACATTTTATGTATTTTAGTTTTTTCATTATATCAAAGTTAAACAATAAAAATAAGAAATTCAATTAATAAAAATACTTTTATATTCTAAAACTTATTTTGCAACATTTTAATGTTGATCAATCTGTTCTATCATTGATATACTATAATATTTATTATTTATTGAATTTTATGTATTTTAGTTTTAATTTTAGTTTTTTAAGTTAAACAATGAAAATAAGAAATTCAATTAATAAAAATACTTTTATATTCTAAAACTTATTTTGCAACTTTTTAATGTTGATCAATGTGTTCTATCATTGAAATACTATAATATTTATTATTTATTGAATTTTATGTATTTTAGTTTTTTTATTATATCAAAGTTAAACAATAAAAATAAGAAATTCAATCACTAAAAATACTTTTATATTCAAAAACTTAATTTTGCAAATGTTTTAATCTTGATCATCAGTGTGTAATAGCATCGAAAAACTGAATGAGAACATTTAAACTAAAATGTTTAAACATATCTATAGTTTTTAATTTTATTTCAAGCTAAACAATTAAAACGAGATGCATTTATTTGATTATTTCAAGCAATTTTTTTAAAAACGTTTGGCATTGGTTGGCATCCGGCGTGATTCGCGCAGATGTTGTGTGTGTGCCGAGAGACGCTGTTATACGGCCCAGCCCTGTTCTCCACTGTACCTGTAACGTTAATCTGTAATGTGATTGTTTACTTTAGTTGAGGTCAGTGAGGGTCACATGAGTCAGTGAATCTGTACGGCCGGTTCTTTACGTCACGCTGACACACACTCTCTCTCCTTTGTTCCCTCCCTGTGTCACATGTCACACACTCGCTCAGGTCTCGATCCCGTTCACACTCTCGCTCTCGGTCCAGAGGGAGGAGATACGGGCGCTCCCGCAGCCGCAGCAGAGGGAGAAGGTGAGTGTGTGTGTGTGTGTGAGAGATTTCACATCTGTGGTGTAAATGCATGTCTCATCCCTGTCTCAGGTCCAGGTCTTTCTCTCCTCGGCGTTCTCGCTCTGGTTCTCCCAGGCGCTCCAGGTCCGTGACGCCCAAACGCTCCAGGTATGTGCGAGAGCGGGAAAAGTTTTGAATCCGAATACTGCAAAACTCTCATTATAATGGCATGTACAGGAACTCAGTGTGTGTCTGAGGCGTTTGGTTCTGTCATTTGAGTTGATTGTTTCTTTGACCGGTCCAGGTCCATATCCCGCTCTCGCTCCCGATCCGGCTCCGCTCCCAGGAACAGGTAACACAATAACACAGCTGGTCAGGTGACGCCTTTGAACACAGTCACATGGGTGTGTGTTGATGGGGAGCTTCTGTTTCTGTAGGTCTGGTTCAGTCGGGAGGTCCAAATCCGGCTCTCCGGGCAGAAGGTGAGAACACACACACACACACACACACACACACACTAGCTGTTTTTTTTTATTTTTTTATTGATAACAACAACTGGTACAAAGATGAAAAACCATCAATATTCAAACAAGAGTTTGTACAGACAATACCATACCAAAAACAAAGAACAAAAACAAGAAAAGAAAAAAAAACATACGTATAGTAAATGAAAGAGGAAAAATAATAAGGATATTAAGAAGAATTGGGGAATAGGTCATAATATTGAGATAAAAGCTTTCTATTCTTCTTGTTCTTTACATGTTTGTGTGATTTCAGAAACATATTCAGTTCCAAAATAACATAAGGAAGACTTATTAAATTCCTGCTTGTGTATAAAGAACTGAGCATATAAGATTATAAAGTCGCATGCAAACCGCAAAGTCACTGACACACTTCCTGTGCGTGTTAAACTTAAAAGGATAGTTCCTTAAAAGTAAAAATTAGCCCATGACTGACTCCCGCTCAACCCATAATCATTAAAGACTCTAAAGGCCGTCTGAAGTGAGGCGATGTGCACTTTTAGTGCACTCTAATTTTAATTGTGTGTGTGTGTGTGTGTGTGTGTGACGGGGTGATTGACTAACCTGTTCCCTGTGTTCCCCTCGCAGTCGTTCGCCCTCCCGGAGCTCTGCCAGGAGTGAGAGTCCCGAGCGAGACTGAAGCTCCCGTTCTGGCGTGTGTGTGTGTGTGTTTGTTATCCGGGCCTTCGGCTCGGTACCTATTGCAGTACAGCTGAAGTAATAATTAAAAATGCCCAGTTTGATTGTAAGGAAGCTGTTGTGTGAGGAGCAGAATATTCTGAGTTTATTTTTCTGATTTATTCGTCTGATTTTCGACATGTTTTGTTGTGCGGTTCATGTGTTCCTGCATCAGTTTGAGTTTTGTATGCATAATAAATAAAGTTGAAGCACTTTCCCTCTCTGTGAGATTTCCTCATGTGTTAATGATGCTGGACCAGAAGGTGGCGCTGTCGTTCTCAGCACTGAAGACATTACTACTGATGGCAGTTAAAGTGGTGTTTTACTATATTCTTCTATTCTAGTAAAAATTTATTTGGGTTTTAAGAAAGATAATCTTGTTTTCCCTTTGAATTTGACTGATATTTCTAAACCTCACTGACAGATATTTGTTCTTGTTTTAAGCATAAATATTTTCATAAAACTAGAGTGATTTTGTGTCTTGATTTAAGAACGTTGAGATATTTCTGTTGTTGGCAAAATACAAAGGAAGAACTGAAGAGTTCAGATGCAAAAGCCTCTAAATGCCATTTGAAATTTTCTTCTAAACCATGACCATTTTTATCAAGCTTGTATATTTAAGTTCAGTAATTTCACTTAAATGACAATTAATAGGTAATCTTCATTGCCATTTAAGTGAAATTACTGAACTTACATCATTAAAGAAGAAAATTTCAAATGGCACTTAGAGGCTTTTGCATCTGAACTCTTCAACTTTATTTTTGCAGTTCATCTGCTCTATTTTTGAAGGTATTATGAATGTATAGACATGTGTGAATAAAAATGCTGCCTGATGGAGAGATTAAAAGTGAATTAATTCATAAACATCAATTTGTAATTGTTTCGCCTTTTGCTTATGTATTAAAACTCACTGTAAAGAGCAACACATTCATGTTCAGTTCTCTGATTTAATGGTAAAAAATCGTTCGTCTTTTTTATTGTTAGTGTTTTATTTTTAATATTTAAAAATTATGTATTTAATATTTGAACGCAGTTGCCGACTCAGTTTTTATAACCATTTATATTAACTTTAAATATTGTTTCAATATGATTTAAATGTATTTTTTTCCCACATTGAAACAAGTATCTTATGTACAATAATTAACAATTTACAAATCATTTAGCTTTAAATGTTGTTTTAAGGTTTTTAATGCTAAAACAACAGATTTTCTCAGAATTTTATCAATCAATAGGCAATCAACAGACTCTCTGAATTTTACACAAATTCAGAGAGTCTGTTGATTGCCTATTGATTGCAGAAGTTGCAGCCTAAAATTTAAGAACAATCAACTTGGATTTCTGAGTATTTCCTCCTTAAAACTGCAGTGAACCAAAGATAGACTCAAAAACACACTTTGAAATCGATTTAAGATCTTCCCCAGGCGAGTGCTAATCCAGAGGGTTCTATCAGCGCTACGTATTTGGAACCCCTAAAAGGTTCTATACACTCTTAAAAAAGGGTTCCTCTGGGTTCTATTCCATACTTGGCCAATAGAACCTTTTACCAAAAAAAAAAGGTTCCATTTTGGAGTTCCAAATCACCACTCTGGGTTCGGGCAAAAATTCCGAGCTCGGAGCCCTCCCCCTGGACAGCACGCCAAATACGCATAATCTTTACTCTGTTTAATTGATGTAAATGTGAACTCGTGAAATGGTCTATACTAGCTTTTGTTACTGAATGTGATCTTTTAATGTGACTGTCGGAACCGTCCGTCCAATAAAAAGCCGAAGAGAACTCTACTCATATGAAATGGTGTCGAGTAAAATGTCACATATGCAGTCTAAAGGTCGATTCACGATATGAAAAAATATTATAACCAGGATATCATTCTCTTTATAATAAGCGCTAGTTTTGTGCCCGTCGCTTTAAATACTCGAACTCCTGAATGATGGATTTTGATTGGCTGTCAGTGTTTTAAACGCTATATCGTTCCTCGGTGCCCTTCTCGTTACAGTTGTGGTGTGGATTCTGCTATTCTTTTATATTTAGAGTTTAATGTTATTATTATGATATATGTTCAGTTCATATATATGAATTGAAACCAGTCAGGTCAACCATATTGTCATGTGACAATCATCTTCTGTGTGTGATTTGACAGATTATCCTTCTCTGCTCATCGGGCCTCTTCAGTTGTAGCATAATGTGGGCGTCTCTCTCTCTCTCAATTCAATTCAATTCAATTCAGAAAGCTTTATTGGCATGACAAAAAATACATTTTGTATTGCCAAAGCGTCAAAACAACATAGAAAATGATTTGGAACATTTAGTACACAAAATATTAAAACTGATATCATAAAACAATAATAATAAAATGAACAGATTAATAAATAAAATAAAATGGATTTAGAAATCATCTATATATATATATATATATATATATATACATAAAAAGAAAAATATTGAACATTATATACATGTGTGTAGGTCTTAGGCTGTGAGTGAGTGCGTGTTTAGTGTATGTTTGCTGGTTTCTGGTCGTCCCTCAGGATGTGGCAGGATGCTACAAATTTTGCAGCTATATTTGAGCATTTGGCTTCTTCGCCAAGAATGAAACAAAGTTTTTGGGTCGGATTACAGGTGTTAAATTGGGGAAATATATTATTAATTTTGGGGTAATAATGGTCTCTAATGTGTTCATATTTTGGGCATTCTGTGAGGAAGTGCAGCTCGGTCTCCGTCACTCCCAGGGTGCAGTGCGGGCACAGTCTGTCCTCACGGGAGAGCCAGGTCTGTCTGCGCCGGCCCGTCTCGATGGCCAGGCTGTGCTCGCTGAGTCTGTACATCGTCAGGGTTTTCCTGAGTCTCACATCACTCACTGTGCTCAGGTAGTTCGCAACGGTGTACTCTCGATTTAGTGCCGAATAACATTCCAGTTTGTGTTGGTTTTTAATGGTGTTTGTCCAATGGGTGATGTACTTGTCTTGTTCTGTGTTGATAATTTGTGCGGGCCGAATGTGTGTGAGTGTGTGTGTGTGCTGAGGCGAGCTGATCTCTGCAGGAGAGAGCCCAGTCAGTCTCAGCACCAGCTGGCACAGGGGACTCCTCGCTACGCTCAGCTCTTGGTGTTTTAGGGCTTGGTAATGGTATGTGTTGGGGTCGCTTGTCTTTAGGTGTTTCCAGAATTTGATGGCTCTTTTTTGGATGTTTAGAAGGAGAGGGTATTGGCCTAATTCTGCCCTGCATCCGTTGTTTGGTGTCTTTCTTTGGACTCTCTCTCTCTCTCTCTCTCTCTCTCTCTCTCTCTCTCTCTCTCTCTCTCTCTCTCTGTTTTTACAGCCGTTTGATCGTCACACACAGCTCAACTGCTAGTAACACTTTCAATAGCCCCATTAGGCAGAATGTCACACAGTCGCCCTTCAGTCGAGTAGAATGAGAATCACATGTAGTACAATTGTTCACATCACTGTGATTATACAGCTAAAAGCTGTGTATTACTATATATATGCTAGGCAACGATTAATTTTTTTGTGTTTGCATAATATATGCATGCACACTGTGTATTTTTATTTTGTATGAATAAGTACACACATATGCATGTGTATATTTTACATGATGGCATTTGATGGAGATTTATGGGATGGGCATTATCCTGCTGGAAGTAGCCATCAGAGGATGGGGACATGGTCAGAAACAATGCTCAGGTAGGCCGTGGCATTTAAACGATGCCCAAATGGCCGAAAAAGGGCCTAAAGTGTGCCAAAAACCATCCCTCATACCATTACACCACCAGCACCACCTGCACAGTGGGAACAAGGCATGATGATCCATGTTCTCAATGCATTGAATGTGTGATTGGTTGATTAGATGATTGCATTAATGAGAAATTGAACAGGTATTCCTAATAATCCTTTAGGTGAGTGTGTGTGTGTGTCAGTCAAATGTGTCTCCAGTGATACTGCTGCTTGTCTAAGGTCTGATGCATCATTTTCGCCATAAACAGCTGTAAAAGACCCACCGATGCACATCGAACGTACACCCTTTTAACTCCAGACAGGAAGGAAACACATAGCAACCACCCGACACAACCTAGCAACGAACAGCATGTGGTAAGTTTTGCACAGGTAAATCCCAGTACTCACACGCTGTAGTTTAGTTAATGTTTATAACCCCGTGGTTTCCATTGAAGAGTCGTTTGATATAAAGCAGATTTGAACTTTATTTGTAATTACACACTTCCTCTGTTGTTGTTCAGTTGTGATTATAATTAGGCTGAGAGGTGTTCGTGTGAATCTGATGAACACACACACACTGTACACACCCTGTTGTCGTCGTCTCGTACCTCGGGTTACGACACTCGCAGTCAGAGCTGTTGGGTTGCGAGGTGAAGGCGACTTCCTCAGGCCGCTTCCGGTCCTTGTTCTCTTTTTTGTGATGTTTGCAGAAACAAAGACACGTCGATCGGATAAAGAGTTCGTGTGTGTAATGCTTTTTGCACATGGTAGAACACTGAAACTACACTGTGAAATGAGGAACTGTTGTGTTGTTCAGACTGAAGTATGATGTCGTTCACACACTTTTAGCGCTGTCAGTCATGATTTCTCTCTCTCTCTCTCTCTCTCTCTCTCTCTCCACTGATGTGTGTTCTGCCACTCTGTCATCACCAATTTCCTGTTGGTTTGTTTCATGACATTTGATTCTGTGTTAAACATGTGGACTGTGTGTGTGTATTTTCGTTGGTGAGTGAGTGTGTGTGTGTGTGTCTGCAGTAAAGAGCATAAGGCCGTTAATAGCCAAACAGTGTGGTCTATGTGGTCTATCCCATAATGCCCTCTGTGCTATCGGCCATGGTCCAGACTTACTTACCCAGAATCCTCTAATGCTGCAGACTCAGCACTACGGCACATTTACAGCTCAGATTGAGACAGTTGTGCAACACTATATAGATATTAAACACATGTTAGTGTCAGTTAAGTTTAATATGTTTTAATATGTTTAAATTCCTTTTCTATTTGTTTCTCTAATTCTGCATCAGACAAACATGAACCATACATTCATCTTCAGAAGATTAAACATCATCACAACACTCATTATTAAAAACTCTTAAAATCTCTAAAATTCAGTTTTCAAGTCACAATGGAGGACAATTCTTGTTTTTTTTATGTAATGGTCTTCAGTAATGGCTTAATGGTGGTCTTATGGGTTAGTAATGGGTTAATGATGGTCTTATGGGTTAGTAATGGGTTAATGATGGCCTTTCAGTAAATCATGACTCTATTGTTCATTTGTTTGTTCTGTCTATCTGTCTGATGGGCTTGAATCTGTCGATGTAAAGCATATAAACTCTCATGTAAATGAGCATTACACTGAAACCATCTGTGGAGAAACAAGTTTCACTCTAATTAAATTAAGCATAGTATTTCAGTGTGTATTTCCTCGTGTTCGTGAGATCACCGCTGACCTGAAAGCGCTGGTGTGTGTGTATGTCCAGATCTCAAGACGACACACACTCACAGTGGTTTTGCTCAAGCGCTCGTCTGCTATTTTTAAGGCCTGCTCAAGTATTCACACACACCTGATATATTCAGACACCGCTGTGAACACTTGTGCAGAGAAGAGAGAGAGAGAGTGTGTGTGTGTGTGTGTGTGTGTGTGTGTGTGTTCCCATGCTTGATGTTTTCAGTGCAATAAATGCTTTCTTCCTCAGTGTTTCTGTCTTGTTTTCCAGCACAAATATCTAAACATTCTTAAATCAAGCTGCATTTACTGGAGAAGCAAAGTAACTATATTAGCTTCTGACGTGTGTTGAAAACAGGAAAATGTAAGTGGAGTCAGAAGAAAAGAAAAACAAGATTTCTCACTGCACACTGTTTTAAAGGAGAATTCCGGCGCAAAATGAACCTTTGGTCTAATTTTTTTTTTTTTTAATCAGTTTAAAGTTACAGGGACCATGCACATTAATAAACGCTTGCGTAAATGTGCCAGTTTAGCCATCTTGGCTAATTTTCAACTGTAGTCACTGGGCAGGTGTAATAACCGATAAAATACATTCAGACTATCAACAATACTTATACATACATTAAAACAATTTACATAGAAGCTCATAAAATACATTCAACAAAAACAACAAATCAAAACATGATTAAGATGATTTAAAACTACAGAATATGGGTACACACTTGATTGTCCTTTAACCATGATTTTAATTTAATCTTAAACAGCCCATATGAAGCAGTGTCCTTAATAGATGTAGTCTACAGTGTCCTTAATAAGTCTAATTGCACATTGTTACCTAGTCAACCGTTATCTAAGATTTGTTTTCATGATTGCCGAATGTAAACAGCTTTTTCTCTAAAAACAGTTTAGCCTATAATGCTAGTATAACGCTAGTATATAGGACAGAGTAATGACAAATAAAAATCGCTTGTTATTACCACTAACAAGGCTCAAAATAGCCCCACAGAAACACGGTAGCATAATAAGGGACTCTACATTCAAACCGAAACATTGAGAACTTTGTCAGTGTCCATACAGTTTAATAAGAAGATATTTTATACATACAGTCAACTTCGCGAATACAGGAAGAAGCCATCTTTGAAAAATAGTCTCTACCAGTCGATCTACGAACGCCGATCCAAGTGCGCTGAACTGTGCAGAATCTCATATGGTCCGTTGTTTCCGGAAGAAACATAAACACGAACAATTTTCTTCTCTTCAATATGTACATGTAGCCTACTGTTCGCGCTCACCTTATCACCTTGTTCACATCTCACCAGTGCACTTGGATCGGCGTTCGTAGATCGACTGGTAGAGACTATTTTTTCAAAGATGGCTTCTTCCTGTATTCGCGAAGTTGACTGTGTGTATAAAATATCTTCTTATTAAACTGTATGGACACTGACAAAGTTCTCAATGCTTCGGTTTGAATGTAGGGACCCTTATTATGCTATCATGTTAATGTGGGGCTATTTTGAGCCTTGTTAGTGGTAATAACAAGCGATTTTTATTTGTCATTACTCTATACTAGCGTTATAGGCTAAACTGTTCTTAGAGATAAAACTATTTACATTCGGCAATCATGAAAACAAATCTCAGATAACGGTTGACTAGGTAACAATGTGCAATTAGACCAAAGGTTCATTTTGCGCCTTTAAGCTCACTTCATCTGGATACATCTCAGTAATCAAAACTTAATATCTTCAGTCATTCTGTTTCTCAAGTAGGATGTTTCAGAAATACTGAGTAAAGTGTCTATAAACACTTCATTACAGCCACACAACTCTGTTTCGGTGAGGACACACACACACACACTCAGATGTTTGTGCAGCTCTGTCCTAGATATCTGTGTGTGGTTCTCCAGGCTTCCTGCTTTATCTCTTCAGCGCTCCTGCATGTTCTGATGCAGAGAAACACCTGGTGGCAAAAAACGCTATTTGATGCAAATTCACCAATTTCCTCCCCGGTGAACAAAAGTTTGAACAGAGACGACTCAGAAAACACACACCAGCAACACGACAGGAGACATTATTATCAATGTCTGTTTATTTCAGGAGATTTATGGGATGTGAGAGACGTGTGGTGTGTCTCAGTGGGCTGTAATCGCTGCTGAAGTGTGTGTGTGTGTGTGTGTCTCAAAGACCTGAACGCCAGACGCATCTTTATCTCTGGTCTCCCACTACATGAAGCCACAGAGACACACACACATCCAAACCTGTCTGTCATTCTGTCTATCTCTTTTTGTCTGTCTGTTTGTGTGTCATTCTTTCTGTCTTTCTGTCTGTCCTAATTTAATCCAGTCATGTCTTCACTTGTTATTTATATTCTGTTTTCTCATTAAACTGCTCTGAGTCACAGAGAAAATCCACACGTTTCCACTTCCTCATATTTGACACATTTTCTGTTTCTCCAGGTTCAAACTTCCCTCTGCTAAAATATTCCGACTTAATTGTACCTTTAATTAAGACAGCTCTTTGTTTTCTGTTCGAAAGACATGAATCCTGATTATTTTAATAGCCTATAATTAATTTTGTATATACGGAACGCTATCTAATGACTTTATTGTTTTATGAATAGTGCTTGACATGATCGTTATAGTAAAGTAATATTCAAACAAAGAAGTTCAAAGCGATTATTATAATTATTTTAACGTCAGCTCCTTTTAAAGTAGTCCTGTGTTCTTTACGCATGCTCCGGTCTCAGCCAATCAGCGCCGCCGCTCATCCGTCACTCAGACGCAGCATCCAATCAAAACCCAGCCTTGACGTCAGAGCCGCAGTGAGCGAGCATCGAGGGCGTGAGCGCGCAAGAGCTGTTGCTCAGAGCAGCACATGAGCGTCCGCGCTCCTCTCAGATTGTTATTCTCATCATTTTATCATCGATTTGTGAGCGATTGACTGATTGATTGATATATTATGTCTGTGATGGAGGAGTACGAGCGCGCGCCCAAGCGCCTGAAGGTGTCAGCTGAGGATGAGGAGGAGCTGGAGGAAGGCGAGGAGTCAGACTCAGCATCCCCGGGGCTCATGGGTGAAGATGAGGAGGATGAAGGGCAAAGAAGAGCTCGATGGAGCTCCTCGGATAGGAAGGTCAGACCTGAATCACTGTATTTGATGGCATGTGCATTAATATTCTCAATGCATTCAGACTCACAGTGCTGCATTGATATGACACACGTTTAGTGCATGATGATGTCAAAACACTGCGAAGAGAAAAACATCAACAGGAACAGTGTGTGGCATTGATATAAATCAGACTAGCTGCGGTAAAACTGTCCAGTGTGAAAGTGAACATCAGGATCATTCTCACCAAACACAAATCACATGTTATATTTGATTAATTCGAGGTGTCATGATGTCAATAACATTTAAATATGATTTAAAAATTACAATGTGGCATATTGTTTAAAGTACATTTAAAATATAGATACATCCTCAAGTACCCAAGGAATATATTACATGGATGCATAGTACTATGGTATATATCAACGTAAAAATACGTGTTTTTTGTTTTTAATTTGGCATCAAATTAAAAATCCATTCTTCATAGGTTAGATTAAAATGTTCTTCACACTATGAAAAAAATGGTTATTTTGAGATTCGTTGGGGAACCAGAAATGGCATTCAGACTTGGAACAAACATGTTTCTGTGTAACTCGTGTCGAGCTTGTTCAAGGAGTTCCTGAGATTTCTGCAAACATCCGTATTACCCAAAATTTCTTGTGCAATATGATGCAAACACGGCCACTGTGGTTAAAGCAAGGAAAAGACACAACTGGTGGTTTTGCAATGCCAGTAACATCAAATCAAAACAACGAGGAGAAACTAAAAATGGATCTTCATAATTCTCACAGCGCTTGATCAAGTCAAGTCAGCTTTACAGAATCATGAACGTTTATAATATCTTCTTGCATTTATCAGATTACATACATTTCAGGTCAAGACAAACATTCAAGCCTCATCTACAACTGATGTTGAAATGCATCAGTGAAAGTTTATTTTAAAATAATTTGGTCACTGATTTGCCTTGCAATATTGGCAAAGTAAATAAATCCATGTGATCCATGCGCCTTTTCCGTCCGTCGTATTTATTGTATTGCATAATGCACTGATAATTAAAAACACAGGCACTCTGTACAGTAAAATATAAGCACACTGATGCACTGCCGTCAAATAGATAGCCGAGATTAAATGTTACAACACTATTATTATTTCCAGTGATTTATTTCACTATTTTATCTTTATTTAAAAGTAAAAACATCACAATTACAGCCTTATCGAGCAGTGTTGCAAACCTGCTGTGCGCCACCTGGTGGTAACAGGCGTTTCGGTTGATCGGGCACTGTATTTATCCACCCTGTTTAGTACTAGTAGCAATATTTACCATCTGATATGATCTTTGTACCCGTATAATGCAATTTAGGCAACATCGCGATTAAACTTTACCTCATGTAATCTAGGGATGAAAACTTTGTCCGATACCGATAACCGATAATATGTGTGAAAACCGATATATTGGCCGATAAAATCCACATTTTTATATATTTTTTGAGAGCCTGATTACAAAAACAGAAGTCTCATCATTAAAAGCCACGTCCCAAACACACACTTATAAAGTTTTGTGGCCGATATGACAATATACTGTATTTTCCCATCATATTTCAAGCAATTCACATCCATCATGTTGAACAGTGCACATTTATCAGCTTTAATATGTCGGACATATTTTCTTATCAGGCCGATAACGATATAGCATCCATAATCGTAGTAAAACATGTGGGCTTATGCTGATTTTAATCACATTAAACAGGTGTGGAAATAGTTTAATTGCATCTCTTGCGCTGTGATCAAAGTGTGCATGTGTTTGGTACATTCATAAACACAGCAGTAAAGATGATATCTTATTTTTGCGGTGCTGAGTTTATGTGGACGACGTTGCACAGTGTATATGGACGATCGAAAAAAACCATTACATGCATAGAAACTTATTTTGCATTTGATGAAAGCAGTTTAAAGCAGTGTCCAGGAACACTTACTGTATCATACGTGATGTGCATATGACAACAGTGGCTGTAAAATCACACTTTTTAGCAAATAATCACAACTGAAGATGTTTGTGTGTCTCATGTGATGAAATCCTTCTTTACGAAATAGATAATTACTGGTGTTCTTGTAAACTATTCAGAGTCAAATCAGATCTTTGACACTCACTCTGATATGAATCACTGTGGGTTTGTGTTCACGGTTTTTAAAGTCAGACCATTGAAGATATTTCACATGGACGAGCTGATGACTTTATTCAGTGACATTTTTAATAACTCGACTCCAGTTACCAGAAATCGAGCAAAATCACGAGCGAGTCATTTATGAAACCGTTTTAAACGAACGTCTAATTAAATATAAGCTGTGTACAGCGCTTTATACCACACAGATCATCGTTTTAAAGCAGCTTTACAGAGATAACAGGAGAATAATGCGTTCGGGCTGTTGTTCGGTTTCTTTGTTAAGAATAAAGATCATCAATTATTAAATTAGTTCATTTCATCTAATGATCTCATCGTCCAGTTCTCATACAGCACAGTCTGATCAATGATATTCTTTAATATTAATGTATATTCTACTTCTAACTATTAAATTATAATGGACCCCATTTACTTTATTACTGCATGTTCCTGCTCGAATTATTATATTATGAGATTTTTGTTAATATTCATATTATGATTTTTATTTTTATTTATATATTTTTATTTATTGTCTATAACGGTATATATATATATATATATATATATATATTAGGGCTGTGCAAAAATTAATTGCGATTAATGGCATCCAAAATAAAAGTCTGTGTTTACATAATATATTTGTGTGTGCTGTATATAATTATTTTGTATATATAAATACCTATGCATGCATGTATATATTTAAGAATTATTTGCGCTTAAATTCTGTATATATATATATATATATATAAATACATAATTATATTATATAAATATAAATATTTTATATATGAATAACACATTTTCTTAAATATATACATACATGTGTGTGTATTTATATATACAAAATAATTATATACAGCACACACAAATATATTATGTAAACACAGACTTTTATTTTGGATGCGATTAATCGCAACTAATTTTTGCACAGCCCTAATATATATATATATTTCTGGTCAAATATTAGTAGTACATGTTCCTGGTTTAATTGTGTGTGTGAAAATAATAAAAGCATGTTTTTTTTTTTGAATGAACACAAGAAAGAATGATATTTTTGAGCATTGTGAGAGATTCAGAAATTATATATTTATTGTATGTTACAACATTCATAACTTATTTATGTTAGCATTTATATGCATCCATCTACTAAAACATAGTTAAATCTATATGAAAAACCCCATATCTGTGAACAAATCACATATTGCTCAATCATAGGATCAATTTATTGAAAATGCTCCAACACTTTAAAATAAGGATCATTATTACTGTTAGTTAATATTAATTTCAACATTTACTAATACGTCATTAAAATTAACATCAGTTAATGCGCTGTGAACTAACATGAACGCACAATGAACAGCTGGATTTTTATGAACTAATGTTAATACAAATTAATATCAAATGTATTGCATATTTTTAATTAGTAAATATATAATGTTAACTAACTGCACAGTGTTATTGCATTTCCAGTGCATTCATTATAGTGAATATCTTGTTTCTTGTGGAGTTATGACTCACATCGCAGCTCATTCAGCTGTTTTATTGTGATCTCAGTGTGTGTGTGTGTGTGTGTGTGTGTGTGTGTTTTCACAGTCCAGACGCGCAGAAGCAGAAGACAGACACATATAATGGCTTCAGTCTTTTGCCCAGAGCGAACGCCTCGGCTCCTGATGATTTGAATACTAAGTGGCTTTTATTGGCCGGTTTAAATGTCACGTATCCCTGTCTTATCATGTGCCGTCGGCGACCCGAGCTGACCCCAGCACACAGTGTTCCCCCTTTATCGATCCATCGATAGATCGATCGATTATCTCGGGGAATCAAACGCTCTCGAGTGGGCGGCAAAGCGTTATCAGAACGAGTTTGCATCCATAATCTGGGCCTTTTTAATGTGTGTATGCAAACCGTCGGTGTGTGTTTGTGTCTCTGGGGTCTGTCTGCCATCTCAGCGAGGCTGATGGGAAATGAAGGGCGTCTGTATGGCTAAACAGGGTCACATGTTTAGCCCCAATGGGCAAATGAGCCATTGATTTGAATGTGTGTCATGTTGAAATGAGGCAGATCTGTTCGGGTTCACTGATGGATTCTGGGTCTGGGTTTTGATTGGCTCGCAATATATCGCAATACAATGTATATTAGGTATATTTCACCCAAAATGTAAATTACTGTTACGTTTTCAGAGTTTTAGTGTCAGTACTACATTAATCTACTATATATAATGTTGAATATAATGATTAATAATGCAATGGAGGAATGTTTGTGGCTGCTGATAATGACAAATGTCATAATTATGACATAATTATTTTAAATATATCTAGTCAGTGACAGAGTGAAAGCATTTCGTCTCAAATAATTCTGTATTTTCATCTTCAGAATCATGAATATTGTTATTGTTTCTATCGTCCTGTATTGGGTTTCCAGCACGAGTCCACGACTATTCATTCACACACACTAATGTAAAACTAAATTTAGGATTTTAATCAACCGTTCATTTCGTGTTTCGCGTCATTTATAGTTCAAGTTCTTACACCAAACATAAATGAGTTAAATGTCATTAACTTGAGCTTAGTTGCTGGTTTTGTTAGTACACTCTCAGAAAAAAAGGTACAAAAGCCGTCACTGGGGCTGTACCTTTTCAAAAGGTACACTTTTGTACCCAAAGGCTACCTTAGTGGTACATATTAGCACCTAAAATGTACATATTAGCTCATGAAATGGAATTATTAGCACCTAAAATGTACATATTAACACCCAAAATTTACATATGTACATATTAGCACATGAAATGTACATATTAGCTCATGAAATGGACATATTAGCACCTAAAATGTACATATTACCACCTAAAATTGACATATTAACACCTAA